ACCATCATCATGGCTTCAAATATTTTTATTTTCAAATGGGAAATAGTCAGTGAGGCACTATACAATCATGTCATTAGGTCTTAGTTCCTAGCCCTGAATGAACAGTTGCCACTATTTGAAAACAGAGAATTATGCTCCAGGGAGTTAAAAAGAGAGTAGCACACAAAGCATGATACAGGAAATCTTAATTGCTCTAACCCCTGAGCAGATCATCCCTAGTGATAGGAAGTCATCAGTGAATTTCCATCTATGCACCTTCATGACATCTTTTACAATTCAAAAATCTATGTAAAAGTGTGATCATTCTGGTAAGTACCTTAGAAGGTTATAAGGGGAATCATGACATTGGATTTTTAATATTAATGTGAACTACTCAGAAATTCAGATATGTGTTCTGAACCCATAAATAAGGAAGAGCCAGAAGGTTTCATTTTGTACCTCCAGAACCAATAGCATGAAGTATTTCATTTAAGCAGCACTTGACCTAGAGCTCACATACAACTGGGATGGAGGTTTCCAATAGGTAAAAAGTGAGTGTGTGAGTTCTATTTCTCCTAGAGACTTTCAACCTCAGAATGTGTGAAGGCCTTTTTGAGCTCTATTCTTCAGACCTTATAGGAATTTTCTAATGCTAGATAAAAATGATCATTCTTATTTTGGAACCAGTAATTCTTCCAGCCTCGTTTAATTCTTTAAGGTAATTTTACTGTTAACACACAGTGTAGCTCAATGTCTGTAATTCACTCTTCTAAAGGAACATACGAGAAATAAAATCCTCATTTTTATTACTAGTCACGTGGATACTATGTGTAAGTTACCTTCAAATGAGTCTTAAATTTTTGTGGATAATTCTAAGTATAAGGCATATCAAAAATATACCCCTTAAGGTAAATACAATTCACCAAGTTCTACTTATGAGATGTTCCTATCATGTCACTCATATTTGATACTCTTTTTCTTCAGATAAATTATTTTAAATTGGCACATTTGGTAGTTTTTTTTTAAATGCATAATCTGAACATGAGAACTTGTATGAGTTCCTCATATCATTCAGCTTATTTCTCCTCATCTTTCTACACTCATGTTTGTCTTTACAGTCTTTCATTGATGATGTTCTGGGCTGGTGCTATAACAAGTGTGGTTCTATGTACCTGCCCAGTCAGGAAATCATCCCACAGTCCACTTTGCTGTCCTCTGCTAGACTGGAACATTTTTATGAGCAGGGATTCTATGTCTTGTATCTCTCCATGCTTCATGTCTATAGAAACCTTTCTGATGATCACTCTCAAATGTTTATCAATCTATACTCACAGGCTTCGTGCTTCTTGTCTACAGAAACTCTCAAATGTTTATCACTCTACACTCACAGCCAGACAATATTGCTTTAGATCATAATCATCATGAAGGCATTCATTATAATTTTCTTTAATTTTCATAATAATTTGTGATATGCAAGTTTGTACTAGATTTTTAAGGCAAATGAAATAGGAAGTCAGAAAATAATTAGTCGAGATCCCCAAATCTGAATAGTTTTCCTTTCTTCTTAAATTTCTGTAACTGGAACTTAATGTTCTTCACTTCCAGGTGTTAAACAAGAGAACCAATGAGGGCAAAATATAATTAAATATTTGTTTTCTCTTGCAATGCTTAAATATACCTTGTATGCTTATCTAAGATCAATCTATGATCTATTAAAACAATAATAATGATAGAACAAAACTTACATATACTTTAGCAATCTCATGATAGTTCTGAGTCACCACTACATTCTTTTCTGTTCTAAAAATCTTAAGTGGAACAAGAAGACACTGTGCTAAATGAAAGAAGCCAGTAATAAAGGAAGGAAATACTGAATGTTCTCATTTATACAAAATAACTATAATGGTCAAACCCATAGAAATGGAGAAAATGATAATGATCATTAGGGGACAGGAACTGAGAAAGAAAGGGTAGATGTATTCAGTTGGTACTGAAACTCTTGAGGACAATATAGTTCCTACGGTTACACAAAACTTTAGACGTTGGATCTTGTATTAATCATTCTGATAAAACAATTAAGAATCAAAAAATGACACAAGGAAACTTTGAACGGCAACATAGATACTGATTAGCAATGTCATGATTGTTTGTATATGTCCAAACAGACCAATTGGTATATTATTAAATAAGTACATATAATCATATATCAATTGCATGTCAATAAAACTGTTAAAAAACAAACTGACTTTAACTAGGATGAATCAAAGGAAGACTAAGACAATGGATACAAGGAAACTTGTTTGAAATTCTCCATAAGGATCAAAGGTGTGCAACATTTTAGAGAATGTACCAGCATTAGTCTTCAGAGGAAGTTGGTTGCTCAGTGTATCTTAGAATCCTTCAACTCCTGTTAAAGCCATAAAGACTGAAAAAGAGATAGCAGAGCTTCTGAGACAGAACCCTTGTTTGCTATAATTGCCTTTACAGCATTGTTAGAAACAAGAAACAGACAAACAGTTGACTGGCAATGAAGATCATTGAAAATATGGAAAGATGTATATCTTCATCTGACTTATGATACTACAACAGAATGTCACAAATCAAATAATTCATAATGATCATAAATTTGACTCAAGTATTGGGTTGGGACAGCCATGGTCAAAGGACCTCATCTGGTAAGGATCTTGTTCCTGCACCATGTCATCCTAGAATCTGAAGGACAAGAAGCACATACACTAGAAAATGCAGAGGAGACTAAGCACATCCTTATCTTAGGCACTCACATATGTTAGGATCCTGGTTTGATTTATTGTCAACTTGACATAACCCTACAGTCACCTGGGTAGAGAACCTCAAGTGAACTGTCTAGCTCAGATTGGCCTGTTGCTATCTCTCTGAGAGACTGAATTGATTGATGATTGATATGGAGGGCCTAGCTCGCTGTGGGCTGTGGGCAGCACCATATTATGATCTAGGCAGGTGGGACTCGACTGCATAAGAAAGGAGCTCAGCATGAGCCAGTGAGCTACACAGTTAAGAACACAGGCTGTTGTTGCAGAGGATCCTGGTTCAGTTCCCAGCACCTACACGGTGGCTAACAATCATCATAATTCTAGTTCCAAGAGATCTGAGGCCCCCATGAACACTGAATAACATAAGTATATTTACATACATGTCAGCAGAACACTGATACACATAAAGTTAAATGAAATAAAACATTTTTTAAAAAAAGCAAGTATCAGGCAGTAAGTCACTTCTGGTTTTGCCTTTTTACACGATGCTCAGTGTTGCTTTGGCTAAGGTTGCTTTCGCTATCTGGGGTCATTGTGCTTCCATGTGAAGTCTAGGATGTTTTGTTTTGTTTTGTTTTGCTTTTTTTCTAATTCTGTGAAGAATGTAATGGCACTAATCACTCTTGTATGAGTTTTTGTGTGATTATATGTTTTCAGTTCTTGTGGTATGAAAATCCTGGCCCATATGGTAACTCCTGTTTAATATACTGAGGAATTACCCAATCGTTATATGGAAAGTCTGCATCATTTTGTCATCTCACCAGTAACTCCCAAGGATTCCAATATCTTTACAAACTTGCCAGTAGCTAACATTTTATTATAATCTCTCCAATCGATGTGAAAGGTTAATTCACTGTAGCTTTTATTTGAATTTCATTAATAATCAATTATTAATGCACATATTTTCAGGTGTTCATTGATAATTTGTCTATCTGCAATTGAAGAACCATTCAAATCCTCCAGTCACTTGTAAATGGATTATTTATTCTCTTAGTCATTAAGGTATAAGAATTACTTACACCTACTATTAGTTCTTCATAAGGTCTGTTACTTGATAATATATTTCTTATTAAGTATGTTTTCTTTTTATTTATCAATAGTGTCTTTTGAAGCATAATTTATTTTTATTTTCATGAAGCCCAATTTCTCTTTTTTCTATCGTCTCTGGTTCTGGCATGTTATTAAAAAAAACTACCAACAATTGCATGTTCACAAAAGTCTAGCATTATATATTTTCTAATATTGTTAGTTTGAGTTCTTACATTTGGCTTACATTTGCAGGGCTGTCATGATCAGCACACCATTACTGGCAATAAAAATATGGAATTTTTTCAGGGTTATACTGAAATTTTATGCCAGTTTGGGAAAGATTGCCAGTTTTAAAATGTTGACTCTTGTGACCATGACTATGGGGTATCCCATCAACAGTGTTTAAAAGTTCAGGTTCAATAACTTTTATTTCTTTGAATTAATTCACTCCTAGGTGTTTTATTATTTTTCATGATGTTGAAGTTGGATTTTTCTGTTTGTTATTTCCCTTTGGCCTTGTGTCCCACCTCCTTGACAGCACCTTTTAATTCATTACAAAATACTTTCATGAAGGTATCTTAGTATTTTCTAGTGTACAGAATTAATTCACTTACATGTACCAGTATTTTTATGCTTACTTTCCAATTTGGATGCCTTTTTGTTTCATGTACTTTCCTGATGGACCTAACTAGATTCTCTATTACAATTCTGTATAAAAGTGCAGAGTGTGCAATTTACATTGTTGATTAACTTATGGAAGTCTTTCATCTGTCATCAAGTGTAGAATTGTTTGTGTGTATATGTGATGGGTTTGGGATTTTGTGGTGATGCTTCTGTTACAGTAACATTGGGGAAAACATTTTTTTCTCTGTAGGGAGATTGGAAGAATTACGAATATGTCATAAAAAGTCCTGGTAAAATTCCATTAAATGCATTAAATATCTTCTTAGAATGTTCATGGACTGGGAACTAATGTACTATCAAAACACAGATCACAAATAGTGATAGATGTGTTTTATATTTCATTATAAGTCCCATATCTGGGGAATTTTAATATCTTAAACTGGTGACTTGTAAGAATAGCTGTCAGAAAACTGAACCTGACAAAAATACACTTGAATAATCTATACACCTCAGTACGTGATAAAATAATAAATATCAAACAACATATTTTCTCTTTCTACATAGAATTCCCAGAGGAAAATGTTAGGTGGAAATCACTCCACAGTGACTGAATTCATCCTTTCTGGATTAACAAACTAGACCTGCAGCTGCCCCTCTTCCTGCTCTTCCTCAGAATCTATGTGGTCACAATGGTGGGGAATTTGGGCATTATCTTCCTGATATTATTTAGCTCCCATCTGCACACCCCCATATACTTCTTCCTCAGCAGTCTGTCCTTCAATGATCTCTGCCATTCTGCTATCATTACTCCAAAAATGCTGATGAACTTTGTGACAGAGAAGAATGTCATCACCTACCCAGGATGCATGACTCAGCTCCACTTCTTCCTTGTTTTTGCTATTGCAGAGTGTCACGTGTTAGCTGTTATGGCCTATGACCATTATGCTGCCGTCTGTAACCCCTTGCTTTACAATGTTACCATGTCCTACCAAGTCTGTTCTTGGATGATGTTTGGAGTATATAGTATGGGATTGATTGATGCCATGGCCCACACAGTCTGCATGCTAAGAGTGCATTTCTTCAAGGCAGATATAATAAACCACTATTTCTGTTATCTTTTTCCACTGCTGGAACTCTCTTGTTCCAATACTTTTATTAATGATGTAGTAGTTCTGTGTTTCAGTGTTTTTAATATCTTTTTTCCACCCTTAACCATTGTGAACTCTTATATTTTCATCATTGCCAGCATCCTCCGTATCAAATCTGCTGATGGCAGGTCCAAAGCCTTCAGCACCTGCAGCTCCCACATGTCAGCTGTTGCTGTCTTCTTTGGTTCTCTGGCATTCATGTACCTGCAGCCATCCTCAGCCAGCTCCATGGAACAAAAGAAAGTGTCATCTGTGCTTTACACTATGGTTGTGACCATGTTGAACCCCCTGATCTACAGTCTGAGGAATAAAGATGTCAAGACTGCTCTAAAAAGATTCCTTAAAAAACATAATTCTCATGAGAAGGATGATTTTTTTATTAAAGATTCAGAATTTTAGGGTGGCTGGTAAATAGTTCATAGCCCTATGTACATCTACATTTCATGCAATTACTTCTAGCACTGTTTATTATGATGAACATTGTCCAAAGTCAGGACCAGATTCATCAGATGAGTCACATGGAGGACAGCATGTCTTCAGGAGGCTTCAAATCCATCTTGTCATGGTAACATGAATCACATTAAAAAGTTTTTCAAACTTGTAAAAGCTCTCTTGTCATTGGTTATGTTTATGTATTTGGAACAATTATGTTATTCAAGATATATTTATTTCAGAGTAAACATATTTAGTCAGTATCCTTGGTAGTCTCAATGTTCTGTGCAATAACTGACCTTTTAATGACATATATATCTTTTTATTAGAGAGTGATATCATTATCTTGGAATAAAAAGTTTCTTCATAATTATGACATAAATACAGAAACATAAAAGACATACAGAATTGCTTCTATAAATATACAAAGCTTCTTTTTAAAAGTAAAACTTCATTGAGAATTTCACATCGCCCTTGTATAGTCCCACCAACCTACCTTCATTCCCCCCTTCTCCCTAAGTCCTGCTCTTCATTTTCATACTGCCATCATGACAAAGCTATTGTCTGAATGGAATCCTAGACTATGTAACCTTTCAAGAATGTGGGTTTTTTTTATCTCAGCATACTTTTCTTGAGAGGCATTCACATTGTTTCATGTATTAGTATTTCCCTCCCCTTTATTGCTGAATATTATTCCATTATATGAAGCTATAGCCACTCACTGAAGCATTTTGATTGTTTCCAGTTTGGAGTTATCACAAATAAAGCTGAAGTAAACACTCATGCACATAAATGGAAATTTTCATTCCTTCAGATAAGTGCCCAAGAGTATAATTATCAGGTTATATTGTAAGTACCTGTTTGGTCTTATAGGAAGCAACCAAACTATCTTCCAGAATATTCTGTACCATTAACATTGGATATGGAAGACTGATGCAGTTTGTTTATTTCATATTATCTCCTTTTGAAATATTGTTTATCTTAGATAAACTCTTACCAGCTTGTGAATATTTTATCCTTCAATTTGCTGAATGTTGTGATAAAGTGATGTCTATACTTAAAAAAAACACAAAGCTTCTATGTTATATCTATAAAGGAAAAGATAATCTAAAATGAGAAACACAAAGGAAATATTCTCAATTCTTATACTTAATGCACTTTGTAATATATAAAATATAATGATTTCATATGCATTTACTTAAATAAATTAGAAGAATGAAAAACAACAAAAAACTATTGCAAAGAAATTGCCAGTTTCATTTAGAATTACCATAAAAGGCTAATAGAAGTTTGAACTTGCTAATTATTTGCTAAATAGAAATTTTTAACTGTGATATATCACATTTTTGTACAACAGGCAAATCTTTATATGACTGTGAATATACAATGTTTGCTAAAGTGTGGAAGAAAACAGGATAATTTATACATTGTTGGTAAAGTGATACAATTTTAAGGATATATCTATAGTTAATGACATATATTTCTAAAGATTTCTGAAAGTATGATCTCCAAAATAAATAAATTTAGCATAATGTAAAATATGCAAAATATAATGCCTAATCTTTGCCAAGTGTATGGGATTGTACTAATGAACATGGAGTATTATAATGAATTAGCTCCTACCCACAAAGAAGGTTGTTGGCCTTAATAATAGTGCCAGGTATGGGCTCCATCTTTTGAAGCAGGTCTTAAATTCAATTTTTTAAAAGTGGTTGATTACTCCAATGACATTTCTGCCACTACACACAAATGGACATGTTTTATCTGGTTTTTCAGTATTATAGCTCATAGTATTCACAGTGAATATGGTTGGTTATTGTATTTCTTCTCTGATAGTATATATTGCAACTTCCAGCACTACAAAAGCTAGCCAATAGGGATAAATCATCCAGGTCAGTACCAGCTTTATTTCTCTGTGTTCTATGACTCAAGTATATAGTGTCTTCAGCAACAGGGTCATATGTCAAGTTCTGGAAGGTAGCCAAGAATTTGGCAAATACCCTGTAATGTTGGCAATCTATGGAACCTCATTTGCCAATAACTCTAACAGAGGTTACCCATTCCTGGTATATGGAGTGTGGTATGATAGGACAAGTTAGAGGACAGAATCCCTATGTATATTCAAAGAATCCAGGCTTATGTTGACGCCCTCGATCCCTCTTGGCCCCGATTCCCAACTGCCTCCTGAACCTTGGCACCCAGACCAAACCTATTCCTCAGTCTGGTTCCCTGGAACCCTCAAGGCCTGTTCCCACCCCACCTTTCCTTTGCATACCTGAATCAGTCTTCATCCCTGGCCAGCCCAACCCCCAACTTCCTTATGCCAGTATCTTTCCTGAGTAAGTTTTACCAGGGCCCTCTGCACCTTGACTCCCACAACCTCATTCACCCTGCCAGCTCCCCTACCCCATCTCTCCTCTTAGCATGGGCACTGGCCCATTTCTTCTCTTGGCACCCCAGACCTAGGGACTACCCTCTTGTCCCAGACTCCCCACTGCCTCCTGATCTTTGGCACCCAGACCAACCCAATTCCTCAGTCTAGACCCTGGAGCCCCCAAAGCCTGTTTCCTCTCCCACATCGCCTTTGGATACCTGAGACTAGTCTTCATCCCTAGCTGTCCTACCCAAACCTGGATTCCTGAGACCAGCCTCATTCCCCAAATGCTTGGGAGTCCTAAATCCTACCTCTGTCTAGCAATCCTTCCTAACTGTACTGTGCCGGCTGACTAGAGGGATCTAGACCTTAGGAGAAAGCTTGAGAGTATCTGATCCTCATCTGACTTGGGCCTCTGTGAACTCCCAAGCAAAAACCATCTGACCCCTCCAATATAAAATCCAAAAAGAGAACCTAAAGCCTAGACCAACCAGCTTTTCATGCCCAACAAGTAAACCACAAAGGCACATAAAGTTTACAAACAGAAGCAGACCTAAACTCAACAAAGAAAGGCTTAAGTCTCACACAAGAATCAGAAACTACAAAAGAAATCCACATGTCAAAGTCAAAGTGAAAAAATAATAACATGAAACCCAAAAGATATATCCCCACCAAGGAGCAACAGTCCTGTACAGGAGTACAATGATAACCCCCTAGAGATAAGACAGGACATGGAATACAAAATAAGAATTATAAATATGATAAAAAGAATTCAGTGAATTTAAAGAACACACGAGCAAACAAATCACAGAACTGAAAGAAGATAGGGATAAAATTCTGAATGAATTCAGAAAAGAGAAATATTGAAGAATGCTCAGGCTAAAATGAAGAAGGAAGCGAAACACTCAATAAGACAATTAGAAATGACGGGAGAAAGTCTCACCAATAGGATGAATGAAATGGAAAAGAGAAAATCAAAACTGTAAGATAAAATGGAAGAATTAGACCACTCAAGCAAAGATTATGAAAACTAAGGAAACACAGACTGGAATGTGCAGGAATTGTACAACACTATAAAAAGATCAAACTTACAAATCATAAGCATAGAGGAAGGAGAAGAATCTCAGGATAATGGTATGGCCCAGATCTTCAACAGGATTATAGAAGAAAATTTCGCAAAATTAAAGAAAGACATGCTCATACAAATAAAAGAAGCACACAGAAAACCAAATAGACAGGACCAGAAAAGGAACTCTCCACGGCACATCATAGTAAAAACACTAAGTGTACAGAACAGAGACAATACTGAACTGCAAAAGAGAAAAAAGTCACATATAAAAGGAAACCCATTAGGATTACAGCTGATTTTTCAGTGCAAACTATGAAAGCCAGAAGAGCCTGGACCAAAGTATTCCCAGTTCTAAATCACCACAGATGCCAACCCAGATTACTTTACACAGCCAAAATGTCTATTATAGTCAAAGGGGAAAGAAAAACCTTCTATGACATAAATAGTCTGAAAGAATTCATGTCCAGAAAACCAGACCTTCAGAGAGTTCTTGAAGCAATCCAAAGAGCTGAAGAAACGAATGACTATATTCAAGGGGTAATGGAAAGAAATTTAATGAAGGTATAACTGTGGAAATGCATAGTTACACCAAGAATGTGAACATAAATCAAAAGAATCAATAAACATCTTTAAGTAATAACTTTAAATATCAATACAGAATAGTTGAATGGATTAAGAAACAGAACCCATCTTTTTGTTGTCTGCAAGAAACCCATCTCATTTTCAAAGACAAGCACTATCTTTCTTTAATTTTACTTTTATTATTTTATGTGTATGCATATATTGCCTACAAGTAGATAAGTGGACCCATGTTGTACAATGCCCACAGAGGTCAGAAGAGGCTGTTGGATCTCCTGGGACTGGTGTTATGGAAGTTGTTAGTTGCTACGTGGGTGGTGGGATTCAAACCCGGGTCTTCTGTAAGAACAAGCAGTGTTTTTAACAGCTGAATCATCTCTCTGACAAGCGCTATCTTAAGGTAAAAGGATGGAAAAAATATTCCAAGCAAATGGTACTAAGAAAAAAGCAGGAGTTACAATTCTAATATCTGTCAAAATAGACTTAAAACTAAAACTAATCAGAAGAGATAAAGAGGGCCACTTCATTTTGATCAAAGGAACAATTTACGGAGAACACATTACAATCATGAATATATATTCACCAATCTCTGGTGCACCAAACTTCATAAAAACAGTACTACAAGACATTAAGACCCAGATTCATCCCAACTCATTAATAGTAGGGGACTTCAATACCCCATTGTCTCCATTAGATAGGTCAGCAGGACAGAGAATTAAGAGAGAGACGTCTGAATTAAACAACACCATACATAAAATGGACCTAGCAGACATTTACCAAATATTCCTCCCAAGCACCAAAAAATATATTTTTTATTCAGTGCCCCATGGAACTTTCTCCAAAATCAACCACATACTGGGACACAAAACAAGCCTCAACAAATACAAAGAGATTGAAATAATTCCATACATTCTATCAGACCACAATTCAATAAAGCTTAAAATC